CAAGCCAGGGGAGAGAAAAAAGTTATTAAGAGAAAAGACTTGTGCTAATCCGCCCTCAGGAAAACCCAACTGGGAGGGAAAAAGAGGAATCTGGGGAACTGAACCCACCTTTCTTCCTCAGTTCCTCTAATACAACCTGGATTGATTCCACAGGGAGCTTCCCTGGTTTAAGGCTAAGGGCATGGCATAAATGGGATGAACTGGGTGGGCTAAAAATTCTCAGAGCCAGTTTCATGCTAACAATCATCTGCCCCCTTCCTATCCTTCTCACACACATGCATGTGCAATTCCCCAACAGAATCTAAGTTGGCATTTCCTGGATATTGAGGGGAGGAAGGTAAACAGGAACTGGTCCAATTAAAAAGAAGAGCTTTAGGGGCTGGCCCCATGGCCGAGTGGTTGGGTTCACGTACTCCATTTGGGCGGGCCCGGGTCTCGCCAGTTCGGATCCTGGGTGCAGACATGGCACCACTCATCAGGCCACGTTGAGGCGGCATCCCACATGCCACAAGTGGAAGGACCCACAACTAAAAATATAGAACCATATACCGAGGGGCTTTGGAGAGAAAAAGGAAAAATAAAATCTTTAAAAAAAAAGAAGAAGAAGTTCTAGAAAATGAAAAGTACTACCATTTCTCACCCTCTGTCCTCCCTTCCTTCAGCCTTTCTCCACAGATATTTTAGATATGAATCAGGCAGCAAAAACAAATGACCTTTACTTCCTGGGAGGAGTAGAGTAGGTGGAGAAAATTACTAAAGGTAGTATTAGAGTTTGAGCCTCACAGAGAAGAGGACAGGAGATTCAAAGAGTCAAAGGGCTCAGCTTGAAAAGCTTGGGACTTGGCTTCAGGGCAGAGATTCGAAGCCCCGAATGACACCTGGGTACTCATCAGTGCCTAAGACAAGAGGGTTTGGTGCTGCATTTGGGTTGGGGGTGAAATGGATGTCAGCTACACATACTGGCTCTTTCCCAAGTCCAGTCTAGGTGGGAACCTGCCCACTGTGGGTGAAGAGAGTGTGTGAAGTCTGGGCATGTGGTAAAGTGTGCAAGTGCATGTATGTGGGCTGTGGGAGAGTCTGAGGGAGGATACGCTGCAGCTTCACGTTGTTGAAGAGCGGGCTCTCCTGAGCTTCCATCACCGTCATGCTGGACTGTTTGTGCAGGCGGCAGAAGGACAGGACCAGCGAGCACCAGGCGGCCAGCTGCTTCTGCCGAGTGTCCACGTTCGGCTGTAACCTGCCGGGTGAAGGGAGCGGGGCGCGGAATTAGAGGGTGTGAGAGGGCGAGAGGCAGCACTTGCCGGAGGCGCGTCTGGGGGACAAAGTGAGGGACTGAGGGTGGTGGCGACCGGGTCCTTTCTCCCCCTCCCCATTTGAAGCATCGGGGTTGAGCCCAGGGTCCGGGGGAGGGGAGGGAGGCACAGCGGGGCTTCTCGGGGTCTGAGCCTCACGTAAAGAAGGGCGGGAAGCGATACTGCCACGGCCACTCGAAACTCATCGCCATCGTAGTAGCCAGGAACCCCCGGAACCTCCCAGCAAAGGACTTCCGGTTTCCGCTTCAGCACGTCCGGGCAGAAAGCATAGCAGAAAGGTTCCGGACTCCCACTCGGGAGTGGGGCGGCCTGACGGGAGTGATATTTCTCGTCAGCCAGTCCTTTGCTATTATCCTAAAAGTCCTTACCGTTTAGAGCAGAAAGAGCCCTCAGAAGCCTTCTGATTGAATCCCAGAGAAGGGACGCGACTTCCCCAAAGCAGCACAGTTAGTAGAACTGCAAGTAGAACCCAGGTCTCCAGACCCCAGTTTAGGCTTATTTCCACTGTGCTGGGCTTCTTTTAATATTAACATTCGTGTCAATTGCCGTTTAACTTAAACCCTCCTCAGTTCCTATGTCCTTCTGCTCCACCATTCCTCAGTCTCCTGCAGCACCCATAAGGGCGCGTTTGTAGCTTTTATCACTGGAAACGGCTCTGCTTCCATGATTCATAGCTGCCATCTTTGACCACTGCCATCTCTCTCTCACATCCTCACTTTCCTAGTCTCAAGTCCTCAGACCCCTTTTGGTCTATGACTCCTTACCCGGCCTAGACTACTCAACTCTGTCCTCTTGCCTGCTTACCAACTGGTCAGTTTCCAAACCAGAGTTGTTCCTTGTCCCCACCCCCATCCTCTTTTTTCGCTCCTGGGCTGGGGAGTATCACCGGAAAACAATCACAGACCCTGCTAGCTGAGCCTCAGATTCCCTGACTAACCTCACTGCTGGGCTCTCACTGCAACCCAACACTGTCTTTCATTGCTTCCCTGTCACATACCTCAAGGTAACTCCTCACACTTTCCCACTCGTCAAGCCATTCCAGCTGTCTCTCCCTTTCTGCAGAATCCCCTTCCCTTCTATGTTTATGAGATTGAGGCCATGTATACGAGCCTCTTAATCTTTCCCTCTCTGTCTGTCACTACACCTGATTCATCTCTCAAAAATGTCTCTCCACTTTTACTCCTTTTTGGACTCGAAGAAGCATCACTTCCTTTACAAAGCCAACCTTTTGGCAGGTCTTCTTGCCTCTCCTTTCCACCTTCCGCCAGGACTTCTCTGTGTATCATCTTCGCTCTTTCCCTTTCTCCTGGCTCCTCTCTCCTAGTCTGAAAACATGCTCAGGTCATGCTTGTTTGAAAATATGCCCAATTTCCTTGACTCTGCCACCCTCTCAATTTCCTATCTGAACTCTAACCTTTTCCCCACTCAAGTCCATCCTTCATTGTGCAGTTCCTGGTCCATAGAAGTGCCCAACAAATATTTGTTGAACGAATGGATGAACCATTCAATTAATAATGTTCTCTCAAAGGACATCATCTCCTTTGCTTCCATGGCACTGCTTTATCCTTCTTCTGCTACTGTCTCTCTGATCTTTCCCTTTCATTCTTTAAATGTGGATCTTTCCCAAGAATCTAACCTTAGCCTTCTTTTCAATACACGTTCTCTCTTAGAACTCTCATCCCTCTCAAGGCTTCACATCGCATTTCTGTGCGGAAGACTCCTAAACCTGTATTTCTAGCTCCAACCTCTTTCCACTACCACAACAACTACTCCCATTTCTAACTTTCTGTGGGACATACTAGCTTATTCCATTGTTACCTCATATTGTACATACTTTTCTTCACACTAGCTCCTCCTTCTAATGGCTGTTTTCTATTATTACTTCCATCATTGTCCTAGTAACAGTTTCAAAGCCTGAGTCAGCTCTAACTTCTCTTCTTCACCTCCTTCATATCCAAAATCCTGCTGACACCCTCCCTGTTTTCAATCATCTCTCCTACCTTTTTTTTATTATCTTCCATTTCCCCGTTCACCATTCCTTTGGCCCATGTCCTCATTTTCTCAAGCCTGGATTATTGCAATAATTTCCTAATTTACTTCCCTTTCTACTCTTTCCCCTGAGGGAATGCACTCCATCTAAGGCCTACTGATGTACCAACTCTGCAGTCACCCTCCTGTGATCTCACCTCCTGTGATCACACCTCAGCTAGATGTGACCCCTCCTTCCTTTGCCCTTAGATAATATTTGGCTTGTATCCCTTGCATGACTCTCATCACATACTCCATTGTTTTTACAATGGAGTTACCTTGCTTTGCACGTCAGCTCCCCTACTAGATGAAAGCCATTGACAGCAAAAAGCAAGCTCTATCTAACTTACCTTGCTAACACAATATACCATACACAGTGTATGATACCAGCATACTCTTGATGTATGTTAGTAAAATGCATGAAGGCACATATGGGTCAAGAAGAGGATAGATATATCCTTGGGAAAGACAGATGCATTCGTGGAAACAGAGAAAAGATTTATCTCATGTGAAAATTCAAAATGTCCTAGGGAACAGGTATGTCTCTAGAGAGACAGATGTGTCCTGAGAGGAGGAGAAGTGTGCCTCAGAGAGTGAATAGATACATTCCAGGAAGCATATATAGGTATATATCTTTGAAATAGACAAGCATGTCCCAGGAAATGGATATGCATGTACTCAGGGAGGCAGATATTTCAACAAGGAGGGAAGGAAAGTCCCTAGAGAGGCTCCAGGTGCCACAAGGGAGAATGAAGTTGTTTTCTGGTATTTTTGATGATTAGGCAGGTTTGTCCCAAGGAGAACTGGAGCCAAAGGTTCTCTGGTGAGAACTGGGCATCACTGTCTAGGAAACACATGGGAGTGTCCATATACAGAAATGGCCAGTTGCAGAGGCCAGGTATGTTACTAGAAAGTGGGAAAGAATCTTGAGGGAGTATCACTATGGCTCAGAAAGCTGATATAAGGGCCCAGCTAAGAACTAGTGGTTGCTATGGAGATGACAGGTGTCTGACCCCAGGGTCCAATCTCCTCAGCTTTGAGCTTCTTCCAGGTAACGTCCATCTTCTGGTTGTTGGCTTTAGTGGACACCAGGGGGCAGTGTGTGGCCAGGCTGTAGGCCATACTCCCCAGGGTCCGGGACAATGTAGGATGAGGGCCAGGGACCTGGAATGGTAGTCTTGTAGTGAACCTAGTAGAGGAAGCCCCCACTGCCTTTACCCTCAATCCTGAGGTCCTCAGGGATGGACTCCTATTGGTCAGATCAGGGTTCCTATTCCCAGGCCCTGAGAGTAAACTGAGGCATGAAGAAGAGGAAAATTCAGGGCTCCTGGATGGTCCCCTTCCTTCTTGCCGGAGTCACAGCAGAGATTCCTCCCTTGCTCCTCCCCCCACACCTCCCCAGCTGTTGTCCAGACCGGAAGGGAGTCTCTTCCTGCATGTTTCCTGGAGCTGGGTTTCAATAGGAGCAGGAAAGCACTCCCCACCCCCTTCCTTGGGAGGAAAAAGTGTAGGGGTGTGGCCTTGGGGGAGTGGGGGGCAGGTTAGTGACCAAAACAATGGGGCTATCCAGATTCTTCCAGCTTTGCTGCCCAGAGCTGAGGGCCTGTGGGAATGGCAGAGACTCTGGGAAGGACACAGGCCCCACTGGGACGAGGAGGAGACAGTATACAAAAAAAAGTTTTATTTTGAAGATTACAGAATTTGTCCCATGATCCCACCCAGTTTCCATTTCCACTAATCCGGGGATCTGTGGTGGGGATGGAAGTAGAGAAAGAGGTAGGGAGGGGAGGAGCGAGAGCTGGTGGTGGTGGGAAAGGAGTAAGATGGCTGCTGAGAAGCTCATGCCACCCTAGGCCTGGGCTTCACTGTCTTTACTCCTCCACACCACAAGGGTAACAAGGAAGGGAATGAGGCAGATGGGGGCTATAATCATGGCCAGGAGGACATCCTCTGGGGGGTCTGAAAAGGTGGGCTGCACTAGGGAGCAGTTGGCAAAGTGGATTTGATGAGTCTCAAAGATGATCCGTTCTGCCCAGGGATTGGGGAAGCCCAGGCCAAAACCTTCTGCAGTCTGTTCCAAGCAATATTGAAGGATGCTATAAGGCCTGGGGGCAGGAGAGGACTAGAGTGAGGGAGGGGTTGGGCCCAGAGAGGAGTGCCCCACACTCACTCAACACACCCGCAAGGAGCAGGCCCCACCCCTGGCCCAAACAACCCTCCAGCACTGCCCTTACCTGCTAATCATGGCCCAGTCACACCAATCTTTTTGGATAGAGTCCATATAAACCTTATATTCCTGCCAGCAAAGTTGGACATTTGTCTCATAGTTCTCCACCGTTTTCCCTGTGGGCACAGATGCTGCACATTGACCACACCCTGCCCCTCCCTCCAAGCCCTCTGGTCCAGTTATTTCCACTGAGGAACCACTGTCCCTGTCTTCAAACATGGGAACTAGGAGAGTCTCAGAAAGTTTCCCAAGCAAGACATTTGTAGCTGAGGAGGGAGTCCCAGCTTAGGAAAATTTTAATGCCTTCCATGTGCACAGCACTTCCCAGCCTGACAAGAGCTTCCTTTTTTTTTTTTTTTTTTTTAGGAAGATTAGCCCTGAGCTAACATCTGCTGCCAATCCTCCTCCTTTTTGCTGAGGAAGATTGGCCCTGAGCTAACATCTGTGCCCGTCTTCCTTTATTGTGTATGTGGGACGCCTGCCACAGCATGGCTTACTTAATAAGCAATGCATAGGTCAGTGCCAGTGATCTGAACCGGTGAACCCAAGGTGACTGAAGCACAGAGCATGAACTTAACCACTATGCTACTGGGCCGCCCCCAAGAGCTTCCATATACACTTTTCCTGGGGTCTTCTAACCCACCTGTGAGGTGGACCAGCTCAGAGCTGGGAGGTGGCTTTGTGGGATGAGAGGGAGAAAGACAAGGAACCCCAAGAGAGAACAAAGGGGAGTTTAGTGGGGTGCCAATTGGGGTTGGGGCCTGCCTTGTGGGGAAGGGACCCTCCCCACTGACCTGGCTCTTCTCCATGCCCTAGGCCACCCTCCCACAGCTGCTGGGTACTCACCTTCTGACTCCAAGCTGCCTGGGGTGAGAAGAAGCTGAGCCAGGGACTCCTGGGGCTTCAGGACAGCTGTGGGCAGAAACGGGAGAGGGAGGTGGGATGGCAGGGATCTGGGCAGTGGAGCCTGGAGGTGGGGGGGTGTGGTTGGGGACGGAGGTCCTTGAAAGTCAGGGCTACTTAGAAGAGAAAGAGGAATAATCCAGGCCCCCACGGGGTACCTTAGTGCCAGGAAGAGAGGGGCTGGTACCAGCTCCTTTCCACTCTCATCCAGACCCAAGTCCCCTCCCTCCTCGCCAGCCCAAGAACTCTTAAGACCTCTCCGCGGGCCCCAGCACCCCAGCTTTCCCCAAGTGGGAAGCAGCTCGCGCTGCGCCCTCACCGCGGTGGGGCCAGGGACCGCCCGAAGGACAGAGCTGTCTGCGCTCGCACCCGGGGCCCATTTCGGCCTCAGCCGTCCAGCCCCCCGCCCCTCCAAGGCCTCCCGCACCTCCCGCGCCTCCCGCCCGGGCCCCGGGGCGCTGCGCTCACCGCCCAGCAGGAGGAGGAGGCGGAGCACTGCCGGTCGCCCGGCGCGGGTCGAAGGGAGCCGCGGGCCGCCGGGGGTGCGCTCCGCCCGGAGCGAGGCCATCGCGCGGCGAGCAGGCGAAGAGGGGCGGCGGCACGGAGCCGGGTCCGGGCGGGGGCGCCTATATCCCCAGCCGGGGCCGCAGGAAGCCGTGCCGCTTCCTCGCAGGGGCTGGGACGGCTGCGGCCACGTGGGGGGCGGGGGCGACGCCCGGGGCTGGCGGGCTGGAGGGGGAGTCGCTGCCCCACCCGGTCCTGGCGCCCGCCGCTCCCTCCGCCCGGTTGGCGTTGGCCCTCCCTTTCTTCTAGCTCACCCTGCGGGGCTGGACAGCTCCCTTAGTAACCCCAGAACCGGATCCATTTCCTGGGCTCGGCCGCGTGGCGCCCAAGACTCGCCGGCGTCTCGGAGCATCCGCTCCCCGGACTCTAGTCGCCCCTTTTCTTTCGCCGCGAGGTGGGGGTGGGGAGTGGGTAGCGAGCTGCTCTCGGGGACCTGGAGAAGAGGGAGGGGGCTCAGAGGACCTCTCAACGCCGCAGTATCTAAGACAGGGGGTTGGGGCTGTCCTGGGTCGTGGGGGAGGGGGCGCCTGGAGCTGAGCTCCGAGTTCCCTTTCCCTGGGAACACCCGCTGATGTCAGGCCGCCTGCCGAAACCCGGGAGGCGGAGAAGAGGGAACCGGCCCTCCAGAGTCGAGAGAAGACCTGGGGAAGGGATAGAGAGGAAACCGAAGTCCAAATACCTTCCCTTCGAGGCACCTCCTGGGGCCTAGACCCGCTCACCGGATTGGGGGGAGGGACAAAAGTAGGATTACTCCATTCCCAGGAAGAAGGTGGCCACAACTCTTCAAGACCTAAGTTGTGAGAAGGGAGGGGCTTAAAACCTACAATGTGTGACTTCATTCATGAGATGGGTGCATGATTATCCCCAGTCTCCAGAGAAAGAAGCCAAAGCTCAGAGGAAAGAGCCCAGAGCTTGAGTTCAGAAGCTCTGAGTTCTAATTCTGTCTTCCCACTCCCCAACTATATAGCCTGGAATGACTTCTGTTACCTAATTCTCAGTGTCCTACCTTGTTAAATAGGGGCATTACCCTCCTCACTAAACTGTGGTGAAGATGACTACGACATACATACGTGAAAGGGAACTGCACTCACTCAGCAAATGCTAGTTTCCCTTCCTCCTTTCCTAAGGACTTGCCTAAGGTCACACTGCTGGGAAGCAGCAAGCCTGAGCCTGGGGCCCCAGGGGCCCGGGCGTCTGCTGCATCACAACTGCTCCTGTGTCCTGAGCCAAAGCTTCATTAGCCTGAAGCAGCCGAGGAGCCCAGGAGCTGGTTTGGCCATGACGTTCACTCCAGACACAGCTGTCAGCACCGAACTTTCCTAAATTACTCCCAGACACTGACCCTTGGACTCAGCTGCTGCTGTTGTCCTAGTTTACTAATTCCTGCCCATCACAAATTATATTTAATGATCTCTCTTCCGATCTTCATCTCAGGGTCTTAGGGTCTAATTATGGTGACTGATAACCTGTTGTCCTCCTCCATAGCTAGGGTCAAGGGGTTGCTTTAGCAAGGCATCTGGAGAGAGAAGGGAGATGGTTCACTTGGCTTGAACCCCAAAGCCCTCCTGGTGAGGGTCATCTTCTGCAGTGTGCAGAAAAGAGTCAGGCAGCCTCAGAGCCACTTCAGCCAGGGACAAAATCCATTCCTTCCCTCCTACCTATGATTGCCCTTTTCAAGAAGGAAACAGGGTTAAGAGGGAGATTTCTGGGTGATAAGATGGGAGAAGGAAGCAAGAAGGGGCAGAAAGCAAAACCAGCCATTTCCACTGGACTGGGGCCAGAAGTACCTGAGCCCACTATGGGTTAGGACTGGGGGTGGGGTCAGAATTAAAGTTGACAGGGGCCAGCCTAGTGGTGTAGTGGTTAAGTTCGCGTGCTCTGCTTCAGCACCCGGGGTTTGCCAGTTTGGATCCTGGGTGTGGACCTGTGCACTGCTCATCAAGCCACGCTGTGGTGGCATCCCACACAGAAGAATGAGAAGGGCTTACAACTAGGATATAGAACTATGTACTGGGGCTTTGGGGAGGAAAAAGAAAGAGGAAGATTGGCAACAGTTGTTAGCTCATGGCCACTCTTCCTCACCAAAACAAGCATTTAAAAAATTGCTTATGTCGCTCATCTTCAAATCCTACTCAACCTTAAAATAAAATTAAAAAAAGACTAAACTTGACAAAATCAAATGTTGGGTTTTAAATAGGACAGTATGGTATCATTGGTAAAAACAAACATTGGTTAGGATTCTGAAGTCAGGTTCTGCCTCTGTCTTGCTATGTAACCTTGGGCAGGCCATTTTGCATCTTTGGAGCTCAACATTTTCATATACAAAATGACCTTAGAATCAAAAGGGAAAATACAGATGACTTGATAGACAGTGTTATTTTTAGCCTAGAGTTGTGGTTAAGCTTGCATCATGATGTGGAGACTTCCAAAGGAGAGCTTGTTGTAGTCGTTCCTGAATTTGAGAGTCCAAACCCTCTCATTGGAGGAGAATCTGGGAATTTTCTCTCATCCTGACTTTCCTCTTCCCACTTTTCCTTACCAGTTGGATGTTTGGCTGTTTCATAGATCCCTGGGGGCATCCTGGTAACTGGGAGTCTGCTATGGTGGTTCTTTGGGGCTGAATGGGGACTAGAGACCTCACCTTGTTGCCATAGGAGATAGTCCCATGTTGTGCAGCAAGGAGACAGAGAAGGGCTTCATTAGGGACAGAGGCTGGTTCTTTCATGAGAAGTCTCATTTTCCACCCCTGGGGCCCCTACTTTCCCTTTCTAAGCCCAGTTCTGCTTTAAAATATATACTTTTGGGGGTCAGCCTGGTAATGGTTAAGTTCGCATGCTCTGCTTCAGTGGCCTGGGTTTTGGTGGGTTCAGAGCCTGGGTGTGGACCTACACACCGCTCATCAGCCATGCTGTAGCAGCATCCCACATACAAAATAGAGGAAGATTAGCACAGATGTTAGCTCGGGGACCATTTTCCTTACCAAAAAAAAATACACACACACACACACACACTTTTTGCTATAAAATATACTTTTTAATTGCAAGTAATATGTAAGTATATACTCGTTGCAAAATATTTAAACACAGAAAACTTTATACTCCCATTCCTCTCACTCACGTCCCCACATATTTTGGACTTAAAAAAACAAAAAGCATAATTGGGATTTAATATTCCTGTTGTTCAGTGACTTCTCTTTTTGCTTAATAATGTCTTGGGTATCTTCCCATGATACCACGTATAGATGTGCCTCTTTCCTTTTAACTGTAGTATAGTATTGTCTTTAGTCTTTTTTTTTTCTTATATCCAGTGGAATTTGATCTTCAAGTTCCCTACACACTCCCTTATTCCTCTGTCCCTACCCCACTCCCAGCTCTAGTGCTTGGGAAGAGAGAGATCTGGTTCTGGTCCAGCTAGACATTGACCTGAGATTTCTGGCTTCAACCTGGATTGCCTTCTCCTGGGTAGGGATCTTACAGCCGTGTAAATTTCCCTTCTTATTACAGGCCAAGGGCCATCCTACTTGGAGCAGGGAGAGAGGTGACTTGATCCTTACAAAGAGTGTCATTTCTAATCCTTGGCTTTTCCCCTACACACACATAAATCCAGAAAAACCCAGGGGGGAGTAAAAAACACTGAGGGCCTCCTACACGATGAGATTACATGTGCAGAACATCCTGGAATTAGCATCTCTATGGTGCAGAGACATTCACACATGCTGGCCTCCTCCCCAGCTGTCTGCAAAATAAAGAGCAGAGCCCGGGAGAAGACATGAGGGAGAGTCAGGGTCAGGGAAGGCAGAAGTTCTGGCTGGGAGGGCCTAATTCTTCCAAACTGGAGAGAGGAGACAGGCTTCTTCAGAGGGCAGGCGGGCAGCAGGGAGAACCAGAAGAGCTGCAACCAGGAAGCCAGCTGGCCCAGGGAGAGAAGACTAAGGGGTAGGGATGAAATTACTCCATCTCTCCCCAGCCTCCTCATCTCCAGAATGATGGCGCATTCGGTATGAGGAGCATGACCACCTCGCAAAGGGAAGAAGAATGGTTATTGGAGAAAACTTTGGCTCTCAAGTTGGTAAAAAGCAGAGAAAACGGTCAAGCCATATTCCTCATCAATTGCTATGGACTTAATAGTAACTACCACTTATTGAACAATTACTATGTGCTGCATAGTGTGTTCTCCAACACATATGCAGAGTGCTTTTCATGCATTTTTTAAAACCTTACCGTAACACCAGAATTGTCTTGTCCGTGGGTGAAATGGGGAAACCGGAGTGATTTGCCCAAGGTCCCATAGGTAGTAATTGGCAGAGTGAGGATTTGAACCCAGGACTGCTTGATGCTAAGTTTCATGTCTTAACCATTATGATTTATCACCTTCCTCTCACTTCACATCTGAATAGTGATTTCTTACTGGGTCTTGAAATTTGGAGAGATGGATAGAGTGTTTATTCCAGGACCAGATGGACCCCTCCAGAAATAAGACGCTCTGTTTCACCCAACTACATGCACACAACCTCCTCCCACCTCCTTCCCTGACCCAGGCTAGACCATGACATCACATGGTGGAGGCTGTTTTTGTGAAAAGAACCCAGGCCAGATTTACAAGAACGGCGTTCAGACAGCGTGACTGAAAAGGACTGTGGCCAAGAGACCACAGCACACGCCCAGCAGTACTGAGAACACTGCTGGTCCCTCGGCACCTGGGGCTGACTCATGGTTGCTGTCAGGACCCAATGCCAGATGCCAAGATTACTTTCACCCTTTCTCCATTCCTCAGGACTGTCCTATGAAATCATCCCCAGGAACACTTCTACCCCCTCCCAGCACCCCACAAGGTTGGATATTGTATAACATGGAGATTGCCTGGGGATGCTAGGCAGTATGCCCAGTGCTTCACACAAATTGTTTCATTTAAAACTCACAAGTCTATTGAATAAGGTACCATAGCAACCCACTTTACAGATGAGGAATCTGAGGCTCAGAAAGGTTAAGTAACTTGCCCAAGGTCATGCAACTAATATTGGCAGATACACAGGTCTTTTTGATGCTGAAACCCGAGCACTTAACCTCTGTTCCACAATACTGATGGAAGTCAACCTGCTAGCCAACCTAATGGACAGAACC